AAACAAACTAATAGATGAGTATTGTAGACGTGTGGAAACTAAGAAAGTTCAAAAGTACGATTCAGTTGCTTTAAAAAGTAAAAGCGAAAATAAACCAAAGTATGTTACACAATTTTGTACTTATTGTAAGAGAAATAACCATACGATAAATGACTGTTTTCATTTAAAACGCAACGCTAGAACTTCCCCGAAAACAGATGTAAATAATAGTAAAGTAAGAAATTATTCTCAAAATTATAAAAGTAATGCATGCCAAATAGCAAATACGCAAAGTGTAGAAAACATAACAAAACTTAAAGAAAATAAGTATCTTAAAAGTATTGAAACTGAAAATTCGCAGATTCAGTTTAATCAAGTTCTAAAAGTGGAAAATAAACATGAAAACACGCAAACGCAAGAATGGGTTATCGACTCAGGAGCCTCATATGACGAGTGATAAGAATTTTTTTCTCTCAGTTAAATGACTCTAATAAACAAATAGTAACTGTAGCCAATGGTGCTAAATTAAATTCTTATGGTATTGGTGAAGGTTATTTTAAAGTTCAAAACTTAAAGGGTCAGGTTACACAAATAAAATTGGAAAATGTATTGTATGTACCAGGTTTAGATAGTAATTTACTTTCTGTTCAATCTGTTACCAATAAAGGTTGCATTGTTACATTTGATAGTAATAAGTGTTACATAAAGCGTAACAATATACTCGTAGCCGACGGCAACGCTCAGCAAGGTTTATATAAATTGACCGTAAACTCAATTGACGAGAAAGCATACTTAGCTAATGAGGTTTCATGTTCAAATACGAACTGTATACTAAAATGGCATCAAAGATTAGGCCACAGAAATATAGATGCCATTAAAAACACTTGAGAAAAATGATTTGGCAGACGGCATTAAACTTGGCAAATGCACTCATAGTGTGGAATGTTCTACTTGTGTAAAAGCGAAACTAACTGAAACACCTTATCCCAAAACTAGTTTTAGATCTAAAAATCCACTGGATTTAGTGCACACAGATGTGTGTGGGCCAATTGAAGTCAACAGCTTAGGAGGGAAAAGATATTTCGTAACTTTCATTGATGACTATTCGCGTTATACTCAAATTTATTTTATTACTTCAAAAGATGAAGTATTCGACAAACTTAAACAGTATGTTGCATCGACAACAAATAAATTTAGAAAGAAAATAAAGGTTCTCAGATCCGACAACGGTACAGAATACTGTAACGAAAGTACTGAAAATTATTTAAAGAAACTCGGCATTTTTCATCAAAATTCGGTTCCTTATTGTCCGGCACAGAACGGCGTCGCAGAAAGGAAAAATCGCTCTTTAATAGAAATGACAAAAGCTATGCTAATAAACTCTAAATTACCGAAAGGATTCTGGGCTGAAGCAGCAGCTACTGCTGCATATCTTCAAAATAGGTTACCAACTAAAGCCACAGATAGAACACCATATGAATTGTGGAATGGTAGAAAACCAAACTTAAGTCACTTACGAGTATTTGGCTGTAAAGCATTTTATTATGTGAACAAACAAAAACGGCGTAAATTCGACAACAGAGCCGAAGAAGGAATATTCGTAGGATACGATTTACGAAGTAAGGGATACAGGATTTATGTAGGTGGAAGGAAAATAATAGTAAGTAGAACTGTTAAATTTTCAGAAAACGCGTCTTTATCTGACAAGCATGGAGAAAATAATGCTGAAGATTTAGAATTAATTCACTTCAATAACTCGCAAGATGAAGAAAATAATGAAGAAACATCTCTTGGCGATGATTTTACAGAAGATTCAAAAAGTTCCGAAGAGTTAATTAAATGTGAAGAAAATGTAGAAAGAAGGGTTTCTAGCAGATCAACCAAAGGGGTCCCACCGGAAAGATTCTCTTATAAAGCAGAAGACGAAGAATCAATCTTACTTAAAATTAAAGATCCAGAAAGCTTTGAAGAAATTCTAAACTTACCAAAACGTGAACAAGAAGCTTGGATCAAGGCTATGCAAGAAGAAATACATTCTCTAAAAGAAAATGAAACCTATAAACTTACAGAATTACCACCAGGAAAACATGCAGTAGGCAGCAAATGGGTGTTTAAGACAAAATATGATGAAACTGGTAAAAATATAAAATACAAAGCACGCTTAGTAGCCAAAGGATTTACTCAAAAATACGGCAGTGATTATGATGAAACTTTTTCACCAGTAGTGAAACACACACTACGATAAGAGTTTTCTTAGCATGGGCAGCGTATAATAATGCCAAGGTACATCAACTAGATGTTAAAACAGCTTTTTTTTGTACGGCAACTTAAATGAAGAAATATATATGGAACAACCAGAAGGATTCGTGGTTCCGGAAGAAAGACATAAAGTTTGTAAATTACAGAAGTCGATTTATGGTCTCAAACAAGCAGCTAGGTGCTGGAATGCAGAAATTGAAAATACACTGAAGAATCTTGGGTTCAGTCAAAGCAAAGCAGATCCGTGTCTTTTCACAAAAGTGGTTCGTGATAAAAGAATTAATTTAATAGTGTATGTTGATGACATCCTAATAAGTTCTACAGAAGAAGGACTAATTCTTCAAACAATTAATGATTTAAAGAAACGTTACCAAATAACGCATCTTGGTGAAGCTAAATATTTCTTAGGCATGGAAATAAATCGCAAGGAAGATGGAAGTTATCTCTTATCACAGAAAAATAAAATAAATCAACTTGTCAAGCAATTTCAACTTGAAGAAGCGAAACACCGCTAGCACACCAATGGAAACGAAACTATTATAACCTAAACAAGGAAGAAAATCTCCTAACTTCAAATGATAAATTTCGCCAAGCTATTGGAAGTCTTTTGTATATATCGTCTATCACAAGACCAGATGTCACAGCTTCAACTCACATACTCAGCAGAAGGTGTAATAATCCACGTCAAAAGGACTGGAATCCTGTTAAAAAGAATCCTTAGATACTTAAACACGACAAAGAACCTATCCTTACAAATTTCGTCGAGTGAAGAACCTAATATTACAGTTTATTCAGATGCTGATTGGGGACAAGATATTGAAGATAGAAAATCTACATCAGGAAGTGTTATTTTATTAGGAAGGAACTGTATTTCATGGTTTTCAAGAAAACAAACTTGTGTTTCTTTATCCTCAGCAGAAGCTGAATATGTTGCACTATCGCAAGCTACGCAAGAACTATTATGGCTATTAAAATTAACAGAAGATTTCAATCTACCCCAAACTCTACCGATAAAGGTATTTGAAGATAATCAGTCTACTATAAGACTTGTAGAATCTGAAAAATTCAGTTCACGAAAAAAAACATATTGATACAAAAGTTCATCATATACGCGACTTGAATAACAAAGGAATAGTAAAACTTGCTTATCTTTCAACAGAGCAAATGATTGCTGATATTATGACTAAACCAATTCCTAAAGCTAAATTTCAGTTTTGCAGGAATGAATTACAATTGGTATGAGTTTCATTAGCAAAACAGGGGCAATGTTAGCATAAATTTAGGTATTTTGCATAATGAAACTCGAAAGGCATACGAAACGAACGTGCGCCAAGGTATATATTGGCGAGAGAAAGTAAAGCTTCGTGTGCAATGCAGTATATTTGATTTTCACCCTAGCTACTTGTACCTGGCCAAAGGTCTAATCCAGTAGTACTTTCTTCTCTTTCAGGTACGATGGCAAAGTATGTTCCTGTTTTATTTTTCTTATTGCCTAATATAGGTAAGCCTGATGATATTTAGTACTGATGATGATTCTATGTAAGTTATTCTTTTTGAATACTTCAATTTCAATGTCCTTGAACATTATTACTTTTTGTTATGCTTAAGTTAAGAAAAATTATCCTATTTTTAAATAAAGATTTCGTAGTTAATCTTTTTGACTTATGATTCTTTAATTCTGTGCTTGAGGAAACGTACTCATTACGCCTTGAGTGCTAATGCACAACCAACAGCTTCCAATTACATCACGAAGGCCTGGTGACGAATAATCATCCACCATCTTTTTGTTCGGGAACCACTGTAGAGTCATTAAGACGTGAACTATATGCAGTGCCCTCGCTGAGATTCGAACTCCGTACCTCCCCGAATACACATCGACTGTGCTTCTAATTACACCACGAAGGCATGCTGAAGGAGGAAGAAAATACCTTATAACATTAATCGATGAGGTTTGACATTTAATATTTAAATACGGTCTCTTCGCATCACGTTGCATAATTCCAGCGTGTATTATGGCATAATTTTTGTTTCAGTGCAGACAGTGCTAAGAATTGGAAACCCAAAAGTTTCATTTTCGTCGCGTTATACTCTTTAACTGTAAAAAAGGAAATAAATGCTAGTCAGACTCTTCACAAAATTTGTGTTGCATATGGAAAAGTGATGTTTCCGATAACATAATTCAAAGGTGGTGTGAGAATTTTAAGCGTGGAAATTTTAGACTCGAAGATGATGCCTGCTTTGGACGACCATCCTCTGTAAACAAGGAACTATTAAAAGAAGCTGTCGCTGAAAGTCCAAGTTATACAGTTCTGGAACTCCAGACAAAATAATAAAGATTTCAGAAAAGGCAGTACATGATCATTTGAAGAAGATTAGGTATGTAAACCGCAATGTTGTATGGGTACCTCCTACTCAGAATATTTTGAATTTAAAACTATGAATTTAAAACTGAGAAAAATATAATTATTTAACTCTTTCGCGTAATAAAATCCGTATTAACTACCTGAATCATTGATTTAAGAGTCGGGTATACAAAATGAAACGAATTGCGCGCTATCACTTCCTAGTATGTCCTTATAACCATCCCTCAACGTAAAAGGATATTGTGTGCAGAAGAGCATTAGCATTCAGCTGGGGAAATACTTACAACGGAGCAAAGAGAACGCCTCCTTTTCACTCGAAATTGGATAAATTTCGCCTTCTAGCATGTTGTCTAGTATGCCAAAATTCACCACTGAATTTAAGACGATTTACTACTACCTTTTAATACACTAGATGCAAATCTTCTGTTTCGAGGTTTGCATTGTACTACGCATTTAATTTCAAGTTCAATTATTACTTCTTTCGAAGTTCCATATGACAATGTTTTAAACTGCAATATGAAGGGAAATATTTTTTTCTGAAAATCTGAAGCAACATATACAGGGTGTCCCAATAAAATATATGCACTTTTTATGACTTTAACCCTAATAATTATTACGACACCGAAAAATTTCAAAATTCAAAATGCAAATGTAGAAACCAGCATTTACTGAAAGTGTTCAAATTAATGGCTATTGTGGTCCAGACAAAGTTGATAACGCTGACCGATGGAATTCAAATTGTTACTAATTATTGCAATTGGCATTTGGTCAAATTCTCTTTCAAAAGCTGCTTTCAGCTCATTGATGGTAGTTTGTCTTGTGTTACAAACCTTGGTGCTTGACATGCCCTTACAGAAAAAAAAATCCATAGGGGTCAAAACCGGCGAGCGTGGAAGGAGTGCTCCATTTTTGCTGGAAATACCATTCTTCATCCCGCAACATTATCTCTCTTCGATGTATGGCATGACGTATTCTTATAATAAGTTTCCCTAATTTTCACTACTCACTCTATAGTCAAAAAAGAAAGGTCCAATCAAGCCAAATGCTGATAAACCACACCGCACTGTAACACCTAGTAGGTTGACACGGTGTTTCACTGTCACATGAGGGTTCTCAGCTGTCCGGTAGGTATAACTGTGACGATTAATTGCATTATTTAATTTAAAAGTGACCTCATCACTCCAAACAATCTTGTATGAGAACTGATTCTCCTGTGCGCATCTTGCTAAATACCACTCACAAAATTCAATTCTCTGGTCATGATCATCTTCATTCAGAGGTGGTGAAATCTAGGAATAAAACTTTTCTATTGGGCACGCTTCAAAATGCGAAGGACACTCTTTTTGGAACGCCATTCTCACAAGCCGCTTACCGAACAGATTTTCTAGAGGAGACTGCTGAGAACTTTCGATAACTTCTCTATTCCATGTGTGTCGGTCGATGATCGTGGTCTTCCGGAATTGTTTTTCTGGGCATTCTGGACAGTTCCTTCGTCCTCACACTTATCTCGCAAACGAGTAATTGTGAGTCGCGTTGGTGCATCACGTTGAAACTTCATTCTGAACTATCTTTGGTAATCACTTTCTTAGGTCATCACATCCAGTGGCACATGAGAATGAATTTTCTTTGCTCAAAGTTCAACCTGACATCAGCCATTTTTTAAAGCCATCATACCTGAAAAAAGGTATGGTAGTTATGAGTGAGCAAAAGAGTGTATGCATTTTTTGGACACTCTGTACAAATCAAAAAAACTGACGAGTTAGTTATAGGATTCAATGAAAGTTTCTTATATTCAAAATTTTTGTACTGCTTCATTTGTATTTATCCAAATAAATAAATAAAAATAAAATAAAAATTTAAAAAACGCAGAATATTCTGGATGACAGTATAGACGCTTGTCGTCACCGCATGAAACGCATTTCATTGTGATTATTTTTGAATCAAGAGCTGAATATTTTTGGCTGAGAAAGAAATATGCGAGTTACAGATGACATTTCATTTTAAATTATTTTTTTATTTAGTTTATTTCACATATAAACATTTACTATGCAAGAACAACGCTACAAGTACATTTGTCTTAAATTAGCAGCTATCATGAGACACTGACTCATATTTTAAGCAAAAACAATTATACAAAAACGGCGGATACTCTCTGCCTTTGGGCCAAAAATGGTAACCCAAGCGATGCAATTGGGCGTTTTAATGCCTTATAAATATACACTAAAATCACCGTTAACAAGCGTCCTTTGATTTGATAAAGTGATTAAGATGCGCAGGAAGTGATTTATCTTTGACCTAGAAAGTTGAACCCAGACGAGCAACCTTGTACGCGGGCAAGTGGAAAGTTACCACTGCCTATTTCCGTTCGTGTGGAAGTGATAGATACCGTCGAGGTGCACAAACGCATGCAATGATTCGAAATTAAAGTTCCCCTCCCCCCGTCCTATAAATTAGTAAGTTGTGTATACGCGTGTGAAAGAAATAATTACTCGCATGACCTCTTCCAAAATCTACTTTTATTGTGCAATTTTTTTATTAATATCAGAGGAAACAATATTATCAAAAAGGAACAAATTGCCTGAAACTGCAGTTTTATTTGCCATATTGTTTTTGTCCAATGCATATTTCACAGTGCATATATATCATAAATAAAAAAAAACATTTTTGGTTCCACTATTTTAGTAAAATGTAAAAAATAATATTTTAGCTATCACACCATTTTCGGCTACGTGTGACGAAACAAAAGCATATAAGGCTCCTGTAAGAATATTCGGATATTAAAAGAAATTCAGTTTAGGTGTTTTAAAGGGTAGTTTTCCGCTTCTGTAACATGTTTACGAGCCCGATTCCGTTAAAAGGGTCCTTCCCGAAGGGATCCTTTCCCATAACCCTCGTATGCTTTGCCTTAATTCAAATAATCCAGTCCATTAGATTTTAAAGAATATTAAATTAAGGAAAAATACCTTAAGTTATCTGCCTAAGAGAATAGACGCCTGCTTGTAGGATTTGCTAAAGATCATGCATATATTCAGTTACATATGGAGAAAATCCAAGCAGTCTTTTTTTTCCCTAGATTTCAGACTAAACTGAACTACCACAGTGTTCAGGAGCCTTATCCGTTCAGCCGTTAATAGCAACTAATGGCTAAGCGAATAAAACTGCAAAATAAATCTTACATATTGAATAAACTTCAAGAACAATTTTATGCATTGTAGTTTGTAAATTATGTTAGCAAAAAAACAAATAGAAAATAGCAAAGTGCAAATTACAATGTGTTTTTTCAATGCAAGTGTATCCAAAGTGGATAAAAATCTCGCATTATTTTTTTATTTTGCTTCCTCTTTTTCCTCTCTGCGTTTTGATGCTGTAGAGTTTAAATTGGCTGAAAGTAGACTTCTTAGAAGTATCTCTATGACTATGTATATAAGTGTTAAGTCCATATGGATAAAGTGAACGTTGTTTTAGTATATAGAGAGATTCCTGAAAAATTCGTGTTTTGTGATTGGGTATTATATCTAGTATCTGAAGTTGAATAGAGTTGAAGTCATGGTGTTTAAAGTGTTCTAATTCTGCTGTATTAAGTTGTGATGATGGTGTACTTATTTTAATGTTATTTTTTGTGCGTTGAATTTTTTGATTTGAGCTGTATGGTTATTGATTCGAAAGTTAAGATTGTTTTTAGTCTGTCCTATATATTTAATATGTCAAGTACCCGCATGTAATCATGTAAATACAGTTAAATGTTTTTCATAGAAATTGTTTTTTTTGGGTTTACCTATAGCAGGCATGGCGTTAAATTTTCAAGTTTGTCATCTAGTGGAATGACATTTAGTGATTTCAATACGAGTTAAACTAGCAAGATATAAAAGTAAGGAGGCTGCTAACCTTCAATACAGTAAAGTTTTGTATAAGAACTTTAAAACTTAAAAAAAGGTTGGAGATAATATAAAGTGGGTACATTAGGTAAGAGATAAATAGCGCTAATAGCTGCTATTTAGCATATCAAATGTTGTATGAACTTAAATCCATTTGTGCGAATACAAGTTATTATTACTTGCGCAATTGCTGCAAAGTTAGTTAATAATAATTATTTCCTAAACCGTATTGATTAATTGATTATATTATCTCCTAAGTTTAATTAAAGTAGAATTATTTTAAAAGTGTGCATCCATACTGGTAAGTTATATTTTGAAAGATGTTTTGAAGTAATTTGAAAGCAAAATGTTAATAATGTTTTAACGGGGACTGGAGTTAAATCATCACGAAGAATAATATTACAATTGCAAAAGTAAAAATTAAAACATGTAATTATTGTCATTGATCGGAAATTAGTTGACTTTTCAAGGGGAACAAACCAACTCCCGTTCAATGAACAATAATTGATAAAAATATGTAAATACGAAAGTGTTTCGTCTTTACTCAAGTTATAAGTTAAAGCCAAACCGGCAATTCTAGTCAGGCCAAATATTTCCGCGAATAGAAGGAATTATGAACCAATGCTGATACTCAAAGAACTTATTCTTATGAAGCATTTTAGTCAATTCAATTTGGAGTAAAAATCAATTACTGTAGAGAAATCCTATTTAACTCGAGTAACCGTCCCCGACACTTCATGTTTATGCATTTGAGTACTATATTATTGTAGAAATTAAACATTGGAAATTGTCATTATGAAATCGAAATCAAAGTAAGTTGAAATAAACATAGAAGATTATAAAAAAGATAATAATGCAAACTTTGTAAAAACAAATCAAAGAGAACATATAATAAAAAAATAATATAAAAAATATAAAAATATAAAAATAATAAAAATATATAAAATAAAATAAAAAATATAAATAAGATCAGTGAATGTACATGAAGATATAAAGGCCAGAAGGTATTAAGTAACTTACATTCTTTCTAGTGTGGGGAGTTTGGCAATGTGTTCTCTTCGTGTCTGACTCAGAAGTGTAGGGTGTCCGAAAATTCTTAGCGGCAGTAGGGGCTTTGAATTATATCAGTCGGTAAGACTTGGGTGAAGAATTTATGGTAGTGGGTGGGACTTGGAATTCTTGAGGGATGTATTGTGGAGTTCTTATCTGAGAGAGACCGTCTGTTAAGATTTTTTTTAAAAAATACTAGTGAATGGAAATTAATTAATTTCTGGCTAATTGTCGTGTCGCAATGATTAAGAATTTAAGAAAGGAAAAAGGCATTTTCGCTGTCCAAGAGCTAGTAGACAGTCTAAAGGCAGGAATAGGCCCATTTTTTTAGTAACAGTATAGTAACAGTATATGTGTCTGAAGACAATTAGCTTTTTACAATATATACAATTGAGTAATTACACTATATACAAATCTTTCAACTGACAGTCATCCAACTTATACCGCCTTCTCAGGTTTAGGAATAAATTATCATATCCCTATCAGTTAAATGATTTAGAGTGAGTATTTAAAACGCCTGCTCTTTTAAGGCAATGGTTGATAAATTGAAATGGGAATTAGATTATTTTTGAGAATTTTTGATAAGGATCAAAATTTCGCGTTGTAAATCTATTGTATCTGTGCATATATTTTAATTCGTTGTATTTGATTAATTATAGTATTGTTAATTACTTTTTGGATATGTTGGAGTTCCAATTTATTAATTTGTTAGTATTGAAATTGAAGTTTCTTGTTTTGTCAAAAAGTAAATTTTTTGTAGTTAATGATTTGAAGATCTAGAAAGTCTATGCTATTTGTGAATTATTAGTTTTATTAAGTTTAAGACAATTCGGATAAATGTCGGAGTTTTCAATTTTACCAAAATTATTAATTGTAATAAGGTCATCAATATATCTGTAGGTGTGTTTGTAGTAATTTAACTCTTGTGGTTGTAGATTTTTTTGGAAGTTAAATTCTTTGACAAATAAAAAGATATTACAGATCGAGGTGCTGGAATGTAAGCCCATTGGCAATCCTCTGACTTGTTTAAAAAGTTGATTTTGAAACTTGATGTAGTTATGAAAAAGTGTGCATTTTAGGTAGGTTTTCCATTTGTCAAGTGTCATGATATTGAGTATATTAGGGAAAAGTTTTGGTAGATCAAGTAGACTGGTATAGATTTCTTCTAGAGGAAGTGAGGTATATAAGTTTTCAAAATCATAGCAGTTAATTTACAATTGTAATATTATTCTTCGTGATGATTTAACTCCAGTCCCCGTTAAAACATTATTAACATTTTGCTTTCAAATTACTTCAAAACATCTTTCAAAATATAACTTACCAGTATGGATGCACCTTTTAAAATAATTCTACTTTAATTAAACTTAGGAGATAATATAATCAATTAATCAATACTGTTTAGGAAATAAAAAATGATATATATATACCTATATATATGATTATATATTTGTGTACAAATTTAGTTATCTGTTATTTAATGAACATTTATATTAAGTAAGAGGTAGACTTCAGAATTTTAAGAAACATTTGAAGTAACAGCGTAGAAATGACATATGTTAACGATTTACAACATAAAAATTCTTTCAAATCTCGCTTGAACAATTGTTCTTTACGTTTGCGTCGCTTGTTGTTTTGAAATTCCATGATCTCACTTTTCATCTCGTGAGACGAAGAATGTTGTGATTGCTTTATTTATTTATTTATTTTCTTTTTTAATTCATTTCACCAAAGACAAGTAACTTAAAAGGT